CCCCAAAAACCGTAGAATACCAAATTTTATTAAGATCCTGAAAAACTTTTTTCAACAAACCATTTGGCAAAAAAATTGAAACACTCCTTCGAGAGAACAGAGATTAAATTTCTGCTTATTAATTACTAACGAGGATACGTATAGAAAGAAAAACTTTTTTCTATGTACTTTTATAATGTTAAAATAATAGTGTAATCAAATAAAAACAATTTTGTGTGGCTTTGATGTAAAAAAAAATTATTAAAAATACCGTTCGGATTTACCCCAGTTTTCCAATTTTCTTGGGTAAATACGAACGGTCTGATATTATTAATAAAATTTTACAGAAGGCAAAAATCAAATATAGTTTCTGTTCTAGTATTCATAACAAACAATTATAAATAATAAAATGAATTTTTAGCTTCTTTTTCTTCAAATACGAGACAAAATACTGAAAGAGTGTAATCTTTGATTTTCAATCTTTTTTGCAATACTTGTTATCTTTGTTTATGCTGTTGCTAATTAACAAACAAAAAATGGGATAATACTTAGAATCTCTTCAAGAGGATCTGAGGTAAAAATTCGCATATCGAACTTATTTTTAAAAATTTTAATTAAGCTGAAATAATTAGCGTTCGGATTTACCCCCCGTTCGGATTTACCCCGACTGACCCTATATATTTTTTTTTCTCCTTTTAAAAGATTATAAGAAAAATTTATGGAGATATATTGGACTTTCTTAAATCTTAAGAATTAAAATCAATATTTATATCTTTAGCTCAAAAATCAACAAACTCCAAGTTTAAAGAAATAAAATCATAAAATTCAAAAGTAAGAAAGTCCAATATATATACAATGATTGTTTCGAAAAATCACCTGGAGAGATCATATCTCGTGGTGATTATGGGACTCTGAAACCCATTAAGCGGCCCCTTTTATGATCTCTATTGTGCTGATTCCTTTTAAATTTAGAATATAAATTCCTTTATATATTATATATAGTTTTCTTCTCGGTATAGATAGAAAAATAATATTAATATTTACAATTTAAAAATTAACAACAATAATTTTTGTAAATAAAATATTATTTTCAACCTTACATTAATAAAATATTAATAAATAATGTAAAACTATTTGAAAAATATTAAATTTTTGTATCTTTTAAAGTTAAAATTCAATTATTTTTCTTTTTATAAAAATAATTGTACATTATAAAATATATTGTTTATAATAATTTTTCCTTATTATTTATAATTAAAATAACTTTTACATTATTTATAAATAAAATAATATAAGAAAATAGTTTACATTTAATAAATTGTAAATGTATAACTTTTTTAAAATTAATAATTCAAATTTTTAAAAATTAATTAATTAAATATATCGAATATCGATAATCGATAATCGATTGTTGATGGATATATTTCCTATACATAAAAAATTTAAATAACTTTTAGTTAAAATAAATATTAATTATAAAAAATAATATATAGGGAATTTTATACATTATTATTAATAAATTATTATAAAAATAATCTAAAATTAATAAATAAATAATAGAAATAACTTTTATTAATAAATAATGTGTAAAGTTCAATATATAATTAAAAATTAGATTTTTTAATAAAATTTGTAATTAAATTTATAGGAAATTAATTGTATTGCTTAATATTAATATAAATAATTATTGTTAATTAATTAATAGTATAAAAATATGAAAATTGTAGAAAATAAGAAAATTGTCCAAGAAAAATTATAATTTCGCCATCTTTACGGAAATGTCGAGTTAAGCCCCCTCTTCAAGGCCAAGTTATCTCACTCAAGACACGCCCTTGAAACTTCCCTATTTTCGAGGGTTGGGACTTAAAGACCCAATCCTGACCTAAGACAATAATGCTTTTTCTTCATTTTCTTTTAGTAAAACCAATCATTAGATTTTTCCAACCTCTTTTTCCACCACTTGAAAATTTTTATTTCCAACCCTGAATTTTGGGGAAGGGACAATTCTTTAAAAACAAGAATTCTTTATAGAAAAATTCAGTTCAATCAGTTCAATCAGTTCAATCAGTTCAATCAGTTCAAGCAATTCAACTAGTTCTTTCAAATCTTATTTCTTTTCTTAAAAACAATTCTTAAAAGTTCGTGAAAGTTTTCTGAGTTTTATTTTCTTTTATATCAAATTTTAAGTGTTCTAAAATTAAAAACTTTTAAATTCTTTAAAAATTTAAATTCAAATATTCAAGTGTTGCCGCCATATTTTTTCTGGAAAAGTTGCAGTTTTTCTTGGACAAATTTTCAAAACATATTTTAAATAAAAGTAAGTAGAAAAGAATAAAATTATGATTTATAAATTCTTTTCACTTCTTAATCTTTCTATCAATTCCGACAAATTCTGGGGCAAAATGTGCCTCGTTATTTTGTCAAACCATTTTTAACAATTTTTTAAATTTACCTTTCCGAGAAAATTAAGGTGCAAAAATTTGTGCATCAAAATTTTTCTCACGTCCTTTTAAATTCAATTCCTTATTTTTCAACAAAAATTATTACTGAAAATTCCCGAGTTAGTAGACGAGAGTCTAGACTCAAAAATTTAAATTATATAGGATTTTTTAAATAAAATCTTATATAAAAAAAAGGAATTATTTGTGTTATATCTTCGGACGTAACAGTTACCCTTAACGTCAAAACTTCAACCCTCTCTACTTTCTACAAATATTTTTTTAATGAGTTTATATTTTAGGGATTTATTACTATCATATAGGACAACTATTTACCAAAGTATGAAGCCAATCCCAGAACACTGACTTTTTGGGCTGGGGCGATTGAAAAAGAATCTCTCATATGCATGTTCTTGTACATGTTCCAGTACAAGATCGTTGTTCCAATTATTTTTACATGTTCACTTGCTGCTCTTGTACATGACCTGGTGAATAAACATGTGCAAGATCGGTGCACGATCATGCATAAGATTGTGTACATGATCCTGTATAAGTTTTTTCAATGGGGACATTTACTGACGCTAAGTAATACAAATACACTTCAACTTCACAAAAAAACAGAAATAATGTTCATTTGAAACCGATTCACAATAATTAAAAGAATTATAAGCTTGAATATAAGAGATATAATATGACACGATATATTTTTTGTGGGGGGGTTTCATAGACAAGCTCACATGTGCTAAGGAGAATACTGTATGTTTTAAGCGCCCCTAACTTCATAAGAAAAAAAAAGTATTTTCAATGTATAATCTAACCGGATTGTAAAATTTTAAACACAAAAAAAGAAAAATAACCTAAAGTAAAGTCTCATTAATATTATTTATGATTGAATTACAATTTAATTAATAATTGTTGCGTTTAAGTCGGGGCTTCATCTAACTCTTTTTAGTTACGACATTGATCCACGTCGAATTTTTCTTAACTTGACTACTAAATATTGAAAAAAGAGATTATATATTGTTAAAGAGACTTCTATTAAATAGAAAATTTCGTCTTTTTCTCGTTTTTTTCCCACTTTATTAGTCAATTTACTAAAAATACATAGTGAATTTAAGAAAAAATGGTCTACAAAGTCTCTCCGTGTACAGAAAAATCACAAAACATTATTTTCAATCTTATTAAAAAAGACCAAAATGTTTTGGATAAATTTACAACAATCTACACATTCTTTTGAACAATTCCATGATTACATCAAGATTTCTTTTTGCACATATATACTTCTTTATATTTATTAATTGGCCCTTATTTGCTCTCAATAATAAGTTTTATTATTCCTGTTAAAGTAACAAAAAATAATTATTATCAGTTACATTTCGTAGAACTAATTATAGCAAGAATTCTCCAGTCAATAGACATAATAAAAAAGCAAATGCTACTTAGATGAAGCTGCAGTGGGATATAAACATAACCCCTCTAGATAAGGACATTGACCACGAAGTAGTATAAGGAGCCCCCACTGCATAAGCAATTTCGTGAAAAACTTGTTCCCAGTTTTCCGACTGCCTTTCAATTTGGTAGGTTCGCCTTTTAAATTGACAGTTGTGCCAGCCTGTTTTTTCTTTAAAACTGTAAATAATTTTTTAGTGACGAGTGATTGTTACGAAAAAAGTGAAAAATTATTAAAATAGTTTCGTTGTTTGCGCGTAATCAGTTATACGTTTTTGAGAAACCAATTGTGTATTCAAATTAATAACGCAAGTAGTTAATGAATTAATAGTGAGTTTTTTTAAATTAATTTGTATACACAATTATTTTCAATGAAACAGTTAAACAGTAAACCGTTTGTAAAAAATTCATCTTAAGTGTTTTTGTTATATTTAAGGCATTTAAAGGTGACGAATATTATGATGCAATTTATTTCCCAATTCTGAAATTACTACTAATTTTTTTTTAAAAACAATAATAAATATGGTTTCAGGTCTTTGAATTATTGTTCAGTGGAGGGTTGCAACTCTTCTTATAATAAGAACAGTAGACATAAAGATGATGATTTAGACAAATAAAATTCAAATAATTTTACTGATATTTAACTTTAATTTAAAATAATAGTAAATTTTATAAAATATTTAGTCAGTCACATTGTAGAACAAAGTAACGACATTCAAGTGTACAAAATTTATCATCAAAGATGGAAAAAAATTAATATACTTTTAAGCCGAAAATAATACTTTCTATTGTCAAAAATTTTTTTTCTTTTTAAAATTGTTGATAAGAAAATTATAAAAAAAATTTACGATTAAATTTTTAAAAAATTGGAATAGAAAAAGTGATGAAAAACGTAGATTTTAATTTCGTATTTAAGGTTACTGAATAACTAATAAATTTGGAACTCTATTTTAATGAAATGAAAATTTTTTATTGAATTTCTTATATGTATAACGGTTATAATCTTCTTCATTAATATTATATTATTTATTCAGGTGGCTATTGCAGAGCAGTGGAAGCAAGTCATTCCAAATAGCGATCATTTGCAAGAAAAATTTGCGATTTGTGATCTGCACTTTGATGAATGTGATATAATTGCAGAAGATGTGATAAAACTTCCAGACGGAACAGAATATCGTTCCAAAGGAATTCGACCAACCCTTCAACCAAATGCTATTCCAAAACATTTTCCAAGTGTAACAGCCAAAAAAACACTTCTTCCATCGCCTACTAAAACAGTACCCTAAAATAAAGACTTTGGAAAAGAATCAGACTTTGCAAAAATTTACAAAAACGCTAGAGCAATTCCTTTGCCATCAACATTTTGGCTTTTGGCAAAGTGTCCAGATTCCATTGCAATTAATAAATGGGACAACACCCTAAACCGTTCTCCTTTAAGGCTTGTCATAAATAGAATTAAAAAAGTCAATGTAATTTTTTACGTACAATTAACAAACTATAATATATTAGTGAAGATGGATAGGGAATAACACAGCCCCACAAAAAAAATACCCTAACCCTATGTATTTTGACGCGCTGAACACGAATCCGAAGTCCGTTTTGCTCCATCACGTCAGGATTTTTTTCTAACCTCAAAAAACATGTCGGGCTTTGAGAAGTAGGCGATTTTTTTAAAAATTGATGTATTAACTTCAAACTTGGTAACTGGGGGTTTTTTGTGTCGCTGATTCCGAATCTGAAGTTAGATTTTCAAAATCCAAAATGGCGGATCCAATATGGCGGACGAATTTTAAAAAAATTTTAAGATTTACTTTAAACTTGGTATCTAGGGGTTTTTTGGGTCGCTGATTACGAATCTGATGTCAGATTTATAATATCCTATAATAGTCCCCCTACCAAAAAAAAATTCAAGGGGTAGTTCCCCCCCATAAATCAACTTTTGGGGAAAAACAAAACATACGTGTTAAATTGTTTTTAAAAAACTACAAAACTGCCAAGTTTCAGAAAAATCGTCGTATGGCACTTCCCTAGTGTTACTTGTCAGCAACTTAGAAAATCTGTAGATACCAAATTTCATAATAATCTGACAATTTTTTAAAAATAATTCCTTAATATTGAATCAGACATGTCGAATTTCGGAAATCTGACATCAGATTCGTAATCAGCGACCCAAAAAACCCCTAGATACCAAGTTTGAAGTAAATCTTAAAATTTTTTCAAAATTCGTCCGCCATATTGGATCCACCATTTTGGATTTTGAAAATCTAACTTCAGATTCGTAATCAGCGACACAAAAAACCCCCAGTTACCAAGTTTGAAGTTAATACATCAATTTTTAAAAAAATCGCATACTTCTCAAAGCCCGACATGTTTTTTGAGGTTAGAAAAAAATCCTGACGTGATGGAGCAAAACGGACTTCGGATTCGTGTTCAGCGCGTCAAAATACATAGGGTTAGGGTATTCCGGTCAAAAGTACATGACACTTTTTTTTTTTTGTGGGGCTGTGTAATTTTAAATTTTGATTTACTTGGAGGAAAAAGAAATTAAGTTTCCTGGCATTGATTACGTCGAAAATGTTAACGACATTGTGTTTTTGCTCCAGGAATTAGATAAACTTAATCCTTGCGCAAAGAGTGATAAGCCGAGATTAACTAAAATAATTAAATTACATATACAACAAAGTATCATGATTATCCTAGTCTAAAAAAGACAGAATAATACATGATACTATGATATTTACTGCATATGAATATTTTTTTTTCCAGAGCTCAAAATTGCACTGGAGTTGTTTTGGCAAAAGCAAAAGGAACGAGAGGAGTACAGTCTAAGTATTGCTCGGAATGCAAAAAATTGTGGAAACTGATGCGTGGAAGAAAAAATGAAAAACAAAAGAAGAAAAAGTTGAAAGTTAAAAATGAGGAATTGCAAAAAAAGGCGAAGAAAAACGTGCGAGCTAATAAAAATTCGGAGAAATAGGTATTAATATAACTAATTAATAAATAATTTAATTTAATTCTCCGAGTTGACACAAGTCAGGGAAATATCAGGAAAAAAATTTTTTATCGGGAAAGTGATGGCAAAAATTTTTTTTTATTTGGAAAAGTTTTCGTATTGAATAAAACAACAAATTTAAAAATAATTAAAATAATAATGCTCTGCACCATTCAATCCTTGATATAATTAAATTTTAACAAAGAAAAATGTTGATTAAATGTTTAATGATAAAAAATTTCATTTTAGCATAAAAAAATGATAGACGTATTAAAAGGACTACAAGAAAAGTGTGCACAGACCAAACAGGAAGTTATTTCTGAAGCAATTAAGCATTTATCAAAAGTAGAGCAGTTGGCTGTGGAGGCTTGTTTTCAGGCATCTAAAGTAAAACAACCTAGAGGCGTGAGATATAATCGTCAATGGGTATATGAGTGTATCTTATTAAGAATAAAAAGTCCGGGTGGTTACAAACACTTAAGAAACCATAAGATTCTCGCCTTGCCGTCCTTGCAAACGCTGGACAGGTGCATGCGAAGAATGAAAAGCTCCTATGGTTTCGATGAAAACGTCTTTGAGGCTTTAAAGGTGAAGACGGAAAAAATGAATGAAACAGATAAACATGATAATTAGAAGTTTTATGTTTTAATTAAATAAAGTTGACGCTTCAAATATATAAGAAAATAATTTTCTGCTTTCATATTTTACAGGAGCCATACTAATTGATGAAGTAAAACTCTCAGTAGGTCTCTCGTATAGCACCGCCAATTTGCAATTTGAAGGGTTCACTAATTTGGGTGAACATACCCCTGAGCACAAAAAGTCGCAACTCGCAGATCACGCCCTAGTATTTATGTTCCAGTCATTTATGACTGGAGAAGTACAGACTTTGGGATGTTTCCTGAGCAAAGGAAGTGCGTGCGGTACTGTGCTCCACAAATTGCTTACTGAATGTATATTATTATCCGAAAATTCCGGTTTAAAAATCGATGTCATAACCTGCGACACGGTGTGCCTTAACCAGACTCAACCCAAAAGTCTTTGCTCAGTAAAAATTTTTTTTCCAGTAAAAGTATATGAAAAATAGAAACTTTTCTCACAAAAATCAAAATAATCTGTAGAGCCGTTTTTAAGAACGGTCCCATTGAATATTTTCGCCATTAAAAGTACATTTCTTTAAATGAAAATAGCGAAAAGAAGTATATTATTGTATTACAGTTTATGTCGCGGATCGAGGGGGCACATTTACAAGCCCTTCCAAGAAACATAGTGGGGTTTTGGGGTTAAAACCTCCACCCCCGTGAAATTTTGAATTTTTTTGACAAATCTGAGCAAACATAAAATCTTTTCTGAAACATTTTTTTTCCTACGCCCCTGAAAAAAACAAATGAACCTATAATAATTTTTTTACCAACTTCTCTGTTTGTCAAATTAATTTTACCAACGAAATAATAATCGTTTTGTATTGTATACGAGTGTGAATTAAGAAAATATTATTGGACTAAAATTTTAGTGTTTTCGTTAATGGAGACATCTCTTTTATCTTGCAAAAGCATAATAAATTCACTTTTAAACGATTTTCATCTCACTATAAAAAGTCATAATGGGATTTTCCTACATTTTTTTCACTATCACTGATAGAGATTTTAATCTACAAAATCGTTGGTAATAGCCGTTCTTATAATGCGGCAAAAATACAGACTCTAAAATGAAAAACATAAAATTTTGAAATTTTCCCATTTTAAATAATTGTCAAATCTCCGATGATTTTGAAACTTTCAATGTAGGTAATAATAGTACCAACTTTTAATGTAGTAAAATAACTACTGACTGAGAAATTACAGCAGATGGGAAAATTCTCATTGCCGAACGTAAACTTACCATGTTTAAAATAGCAATTATCTGGAAGGTGGGAATTTTCTTTTTACCAAATCAAGGAATATTGACATTTTTAATATGGTACAATAATTTGTTTAACCCATATCGGACAGCTGTTCGATTAGTCGAACACTACAATTTTAGACGCACTTACAAATGGGTAAGAATTCCTGAAGTGGCCCCCAAATATTTTTTGTGTAATAGAAAAAAGTGATACTCATATATTTTAGTAGTCCATGATGTCACTAAAAAACCCCTGAAACGATTTTTCAAAATTCGAATTTTTTTATAAGTTATAAACAATTAAACTTTTTTGCAACGTTTTGGAAAAAATTCTGTATCTTGAAATTGGCCGAACCGATTTTAATAAAAATTGGTTTGGAGAAAGATTAAGATACGTACTTTTGATAAATAAATAAATTATGAATAAAAAGTATAATTTGTTTAAACAAATTATATTGTTAATTTTTAACTTTATAAATTAACAATGTTCTCAGTCGATTTTTCCAATTTTTTTTATAGCATCATAAAAAGGGGCTTTTCACGATTCCATGACAAAAATAAAAAAGTGGGATTCTCAAAAACTTTAGAAGATACAGAATTTTTAGTCTTAACGCGCGCGAGTTTTCTGAGCAGCTCACGCATACGGCGCGGCATCTCCCGCGCGCCCCGCGCCAACCAAGACTCCATGAGAGTTCCCGATTATAATATTTTATTAACTCAATTAAACTAAACAGTTGTTTATATGTATTTTATTATTCATATCATTTTTGTTTATATTTAATAATTTTTATTATTTATAAAATTTCTGTTTATAATAAGTTTCTGATTATTTAATTTTAATGATAAATTTTCAACGATTTTTAATTGCTTTGTTTATGTATCAATGAATAATAAAATATATTATTGCGAATCCGTGTTTTATTTTTCTAGACCGCATTGTTTAACGTTTGCTGTCAAAATTTTAACAAATTTCACGTTTATGCGCACTGAATGAAAATTTGCGGGTTTTCACGTGAAAACAAAAGAATCGCGACAATCGTCTGGTCATTCACCTAACATGATAATTTCGTTTTTAGATCATAGTATTTTCTTTACGTATACATAAATGTAAGTCCGTGTTTGTTGTTTCGATTAGTATTTTTCACGTTGTATATTAAAAATTTTACTTTTTCGCGTATGTGCTATAAAAACAAATCTTAAAATATGCCAAAAGCAAATACTTGCTGCAACCCGTTGAAAAAAAACGAACATAAAGCAGTTTATAAAAATCTTGTGAAAGTGCCTAATTCGTGGAATTATAGATTTAAAAATTTAATAGGACAGTTCATTTGTTTTTCGTGCAAAGCAGCCATCAACAAATTAAAGAAAACGAAAACGTTTTATAAGCCAAAAATTATTAATTATTAAAAAAATGATATGCATAATAAAATACATATAAACAACTGTTCAGTTTAATTGAGTTAATAAAATATTATAATCGGGAACTCTTATATGGAGTCTTGGTTGGCGCGGAGAGCGCGGGAGATGCCGTGCCGTATGCGTGAGCTACTCAGAAAACTCGCGCGCGTTAAGACTAAAAATTCTGTATCTTCTAAAGTTTTTGAGAATCCCACTTTTTTATTTTTGTCATGGAATCGTGAAAAGCCCCTTTTTATGATTCTATAAAAAAAATTGGAAAAATCGACTGAGAACATTGTTAATTTATAAAGTTAAAAATTAACAATATAATTTGTTTAAACAAATTATACTTTTTATTCATAATTTATTTATTTATCAAAAGTACGTATCATAATCTTTCTCCAAACCAATTTTTATTAAAATCGGTTCGGCCAATTTCAAGATACAGAATTTTTTCCAAAACGTTGCAAAAAAGTTTAATTGTTTATAACTTATGTAAAAATTCGAATTTTGAAAAATCGTTTCAGGGGTTTTTTAGTGACATCATGGACTACTAAAATATATGAGTATCACTTTTTTCTATTACACAAAAAATATTAGGGGGCCACTTCAGGAATTCTTACCCAAATGTAAGCGGCATAATTATTGTAATTGTTTATTAATTTTGGTTCTTTAAAAATTTGAATGTAAAGTACTTGTCGATGTTAAAAATGTAGTTGCATAATAATGTATTATATTCTTATATTTTATTTGCAATGTGAAAACTAGTGTTTAACTAGTCTAACAGTTTGTTAGTAAGGAAGTTTGTTAGTAGGTTAAGTAAAAATCATACATTAAAAGTGGGTAATCGCTCCCTCTTTTAAGCAGTTAAAATTCTTTAATACTTTATACAGTACATGCGTATACGCATGATCTTTGGACATTTTTAATATTTTCTTAATTCACACTCGCATACAATATGAACCCACGGAGGATTCTGATACCGGATCAGTATCGGACCGATGTCGGATTTCGACATGCCAATGTCGTATCGATACTGATATTCGGTTCTGTTTCGGTATCGAAGGGATGTTGGATTGTAAGATCGGACCGATACTGTTTTCCTACACCGTTACAATATTGGAATCCGACATTGGCCCAATACTGAAATTTAACCTCTATCCAATATTGGATTCCATCATTAAATTAAAAAAAAATAGTAAAAAAAATTTATTGAATTTATTAAGTTTAACTTAGTGTTACTTTTTATTTTCTGTAGATTCCACATACATGATTTTTTTCCCTATCTTAAACGCAATTGAACGCATAACTCACATATTTTGAAAAATCCTAACCGATGCCGAGATTCGAAGGCCCTAACCTAACGCTAAACGCATATTATGAACCTAACGCACTAACCGCTGAGCCATCGAGGCCTTGATAGTTATTATTGTAACTATCAATTATATTATAATTGATAATTATTATAATTTCATTTGCTTTTTTCAGGGGCGTAGGCAGAAAAGAAGTATTAGGAAAGATTTTATGTTTGCTCAGATTTGTCAAAAAAATTCAAAATTTCACGGGGGTAGAAGTCTTAACCCCAAAACTACCAACTATGTTTCTTGGGGGGGGAAGTATATGTGCCCCCTGGATCCACGTCTGATACTGTAATACAATAATAAACTTCTTTTCGCTATTTTCATTCAAAGAAATATATTTTTAATAGTGAAAATATTCAATGGGACCATTCTTAAAAACGGCTCTACAGATTTTTTTGATTTTTGTGAGAAAAGTTTCTATTTTGCATATACTTTCACGAGAAAAAACAATTTTTACTGATCGTTAATCATCTGGTATTCGTTGTTGGAAGTAGAAGACACAATTTCCTATGGCATAAAATGCAACTACAAATTTAGAATTGAGCATCTTAAACCGAAATATTTTCAAAAGATGAATGTTGCTTTAGCTTTTCAGGTAATATAATAAAATAATTGTCCAATAGTCATTTTATAACATCAAATTAATCTTTTTTTAATTTATTATAGTTTTTCGGAATTGCCGAACTCCTAGAATTATACACAGATAGGCATGACGAATTGGAACTCCAGGAAAGTATAAATGTTGATTCTAAAAAAAAATTGTTAAATTATAAAATAAAGCAAATATGAGAAAAAAATACACAGAAAAACAATTGTACTAACTTAAATCTATCAAAATGATACCATTTTTTGAGTCACCCGAT